AGCTTTACCACCTGACAAAATGTTGCAACCGTTAATGGTAAGTTTGGTCCTTGTTTAATTTTATAGTTTTTCAGTCAATATTCTAAATTTAGTATTTCATTAGGTCATCACGAATGATATCATACAGGCAATGAGAGAAGCAGTGCTTTGTGGGAAACAGGTTTTTTTTTTCAACTTTATTTTCGTTTGTTATTATGTTCTGTTCGTAATCAGAAGCTTATTGATTGCAAATAGAACCCTCCACAATATCGAGAAGCTATAATAGCACAATTAGAATATCTTACATGTTGTTGTCGAGGAATTCAACCACCTGATGATAAAGTTGTCATTTTAGATGATATTGGGCATGAATTGCAGCATGAAAAAAGCTTTTTTGCTACTGGTTCGAGTGTAGGACTTGTAAATACTTTACTAGAAATTACTAGTAACATTGCGGAAATATGGTACCATGATAGTGAAGTTATAGAAGTAAGTCCAGTTTTTAGGTTCAATGATTACATATATATGCCTCTGTCATGACTTAATGAATTTACTTCTATGTTAGTATCTTTGTAAATTTCTCAGTATTGGAATCCGCACCAATTCGAATATACTTTCCATCCCTTTCGAGATGATCGTGCCTTTAATTCAGATCTCGTTTCAACGAGATCATCATTCTTATTGGCTAGACACAGCAGCTGAAGTAGTGACTATATATGGTTCAAATAATAAATATGGCAACGCTTTGAGGGATATGTTAGTTACTCTTACATCCACTACTATACAACATATTAGGAGTCAAGCCGGTAATCCGATTGGTCATTTTATTTTTCATTGTGACACGTCAAATTTGATTTGATTAGAAATTATAATTTTCGTGTTTAGATATGGAACAATATCCTGATATAGTTAGCTCCTACTTTTCTGTTCTAACAAAAGTATATATTTTTTTTACTTGCTTGAAGCATTATGTTACAAATATAATAACTACATTTTCTTTTTAGTACCTTCAAAAATGTCCGTTATTATTTTATACATTGCCCCCTGATATGTTCAAAAGTATTTTGACATTTTCCGTTGCAGGCTTAGGTTTACAGGAGAGGCTTGCACTGAAGTCTGCTGTGACCTTTATGGTATGCTCATTAATTCGTTATTGTTGCTAATCAATAGTTTTGCAATAATTAACTCTAATTCACTTGTAGGGTGAATTTATTGGACAACATTTCAAAGAGGAACAATTCGCGAAAGGAGTAGAGAATGTTATGATGATGTATGGATTAGAGATAATGAAAG